AAGGGGAGGCGGGGGTGCTCCCGAGGGGGAACGAGGAGGGACCCCCGGACCTGCGAAGGCTTCCTGCTTGGGGGGAGCGGGCCGCGGCGAGGGAACCTGACACGGATCAGCCGCTTGGTCGTCCGCAGGGTGCTTTGGGCAAGCTCCTCGCTTGCCCCGCTGCGTTTCTGCGCGAGGACGCGAGGACGCCAAGGGTGGTAAAAAAGTCTTTTCTCCACTTTGCCGGACGAGGCGGCTCGCCAAGCAGGGACCCGGCAAGCGCCTTGTAGCCGCTGGGAGAACCACGGGAAGCGGCACAATAGCGTTTGCGCGGCGTTTCCAAAGCGCTTCGTGCCCCGTCCCTGCGCAACAGCCATCCCTGCGAGGCAAGCCAGCGTGTGGATGGATCCCCCTCGGCAAAGGGGAGCCGTTATTCAACCCAGGGACGTCCTGATCCACCGCTCACGACTCCAGCCTCCACATGTCTCCGGGCAAGCCCTCCGTTGGATTCCGTGGCGCTTGCTCCTGGGTCACCCTGGCGGTTCTGAGTTGCCCCCAGGCGGTCGGTTGCCTCCCAGGAGGGACCCCCCCCCGAAATGTCGCCGGCTCGGGGATGCTGCTTGCCCTTGAAGCGCGTGTCCCGGCTTAACGTGGACCCGGAGGGAAAAGGTGACCGGTTCTCCTGCGACTCTGCCGAGCGCCGCCGGTCGCTTCCGCGGAAAAGGCATTTTCTCCGTCCCTTTGCAACCCCTTCGGACTTATTTCTGCCGGATTTATTTTGAACTCTTGTCTCACGGCTAGGGGTGTGTGGAAGCTGAGGCTGCTTCCCCATCGCAGCTTGGGGAAGTTCCTTTTTCTGGACTGGGGCTCCTCAGGCAATGTAGGCAGTGTGTGTAGGGGATTCTGGAAACGGTAGTCCAAAAGTAACTTTTAATTGCTCTGCTCTCTGCGTCTTTCTTGACCGTGACCAGAACAAAAGCCGCTCACCCCAGGACGTGTATTTCTTCACTAGGTCTCTGAGCATGGGCAGAGTGTCCTTAAGTAAAAAACTGTAGGCTGTCACTAGGGAAATATGTATCAGAGTGGGAGGAAAAGCACTCCTATTCACCAAACTCTATTCCTCTTTGGAGTGTGATGGATCTTAAGTCTTAAGGAATGACTTAAGTTTTAGCATCTGGAACTCTGTGGGATGCGATGCGCATGAAGGTGAGCGGCAGAGAAGTATCCAGAAGGAGGCAGACCTTAGAAAAATTACTTTTCCCAGCTTTGGAAGAGGGTTTCCCCTTTGGAGTCCTGCGTACAATCCATTTGATCGGATAGGGATGCAATTTTAAAGAGTAACAAGACCCTGAAGAAGTATATTCCTTCTGGAATGGCAACAGTCTCCAGGTGAATACTTTTTGGGGCTGCATCCTTGAACCCCATGAGCCAGCCTAATCTTTGGGATAACGGGGGGGGGGGGGGTTGCAGCTAGGAAAAGTCTTGCAGTGTGGGATTCATTTCCATTCAAATATTTCCTGGGATGCAGAAGGGGGATTGGTTCCTTTAAGCCTTTTTCCTGGCTGCAAAGCACTGTTTCCCCATGTTTATGCTGGCTCAAGTGGTTTGAGGATGCAATCTGTAAAGGAATTTACCAGCATCCCATTGCCATTCTAGAAGGAATCCACTTCCTTCAAGATTCTGCTTTGCCGGTTGGATAGCTCAGTGGTTTAAGTGTCTGGCTGTGAAACGGATGGGGCACAGTTGTTGTTGTTGTTGTTGTTGTTGTTGTTGTTGTTGTTGTTACTGTGTGGGAAGCTGTTGTGCTGGGGCTTACTTCTTAGTAGAGCTGAGCTGCATCTATATTCCTACAATTTGCCCCAGTGCCCATATTTGCAGTGTGATCCCACAAATTCCAAACCGGAATTTGCTCCCTGGCCAAAAAAAAGCAGCTTTCTTTCCTTGTCTTGTGGAGATCTCACTAAAACTGAGAAGCTGGTCTTCTTCTGCCTAGTTCGTTATGGTTCTCTGAATAGTTACATGTAAAAGCTATGGGGAGGAATGCTTAGACTGATATTTGATAAAAGTAATTTCTCACGTGCCACTGGTTTTTTTCCCCCCAAAAGCAATGCATTAACCATTTCCATTGCTTTTTAAATTATTTATTTATAAAAATGCACCTGCAAACCTCCCAATTACTCTGAGAAAGCAACATCATTATTTTATTACTCATTATTTTAAAATAACGAGTAAATGCTACTTGATTAGAAGTGTAACATTACCATGATTTATAAAAGTATGCTTCGGCTAACCCCCCAAAAGTAATGCAATACATTTGTAATGTGTTAGTTCTGAACTCTGAGGTGGAGTGAGTGAGGGGAATCTTAATCATCCAGGTTGGTCTGCTCTGATTTGAGAGGAGGTTGATAATTGGTCAGCCAATATGCTGATTTATCAGCTTGTATGTATTAAGCTGAATATTTATGCTCCTGGAGCACAGGACCAACTCTGGGCCTCACTAGATAAGATGCTGATTCCATACCTAGAAACAGTGCACCTTTAAGAGGAAAATATTGTTTGCTTTTAATAGTAACATGAGCTTGATCCAATCCCCAGTTAGTAAATTATCTTGTTTTAATTTTGCAGATGGGAAGAAAGCACAGTTTTACTTCTGTGCCCAAAAGGTAAACGTGGGTTTTCCATAATGTATGATGTAATTCTCTCTTAAGGAGCCAAGCCCATAGGTTTCAACTTGTGTCTAAAGCCACCTGCAGGCAATAGAACATGGGAATGAGGGTGTGGAAGCAAATTTAAGGAGAGGGTACAGACTGTGGAGGGAGTAAATCCTGTAGCACCACATATATTGTGGTTGTTGAAATCCGGGAAGTGGGTTTTCCATAATGTATGATGTAATTCTCTCTTAAGGAGCCAAGCCCATAGGTTTCAACTTGTGTCTAAAGCCACCTGCAGGCAATAGAACATGGGAATGAGGGTGTGGAAGCAAATTCAAGGAGAGGGTACAGACTGTGGAGGGAGTGCATCAAATCCTGTAGCACCACATATATTGTGGTTGTTGAAATCCGGGAACAAGTTCCAACTAGAGTTAGGCCCATTGAATCAGTGGGGATTTGGTCAGTTGAAACCTATGCAAGTTCTCCTGATTCAATGGGTTTACTCCAGTTGTAGCTTGCTACTGGATTTCAGCCATTGGATGGATTTTAATCCATGTTGTAAAAACTCATGCTATAATGCTTTAGTTTATCTTTAAGGTGCTGGAGGTCTTTTGGTCATTTTTGCCATAAAACTCACCTTTTGCAAAATTGTGGGATGAAATTTTGATGGTAGTGACGTTAAGATTTACTGAACTATCTCAAAGAGAGTCTTGCTTAAGCGTGAGGTGTATATTTCCACATATATACTCCACTCACAGTGAAAAGAGGCTTGTTTCTGTTCTTTAGATTCATGCTGAATGCTGTTTCTGTAGCATCTATTTGTCTGCTTCTCTTTTTAAAAAGCAAAGCCTCTATAAGACAGCCATTGCCCCACTATAACCACCCTGTACAGTGCTAACCTCCAGTATAAAAACTTGGCAAAACTTGTTTTAAAAAGTCTGAATGCATTGGTATATAATCAATTTGCTTGTTAGGAAAAAAGCTGAGATCTATGCAGGGAAGTTGATCCTGTCCATGTCATTCTCACAAAAATACAAGTTACACTCAGATTGGTTTCTCTTAGAAATACTGTACACTTTTAATAGCACAGTCATTAACTGCCCTGTATAATTTGAATCCCTGGGATCCTTACATGTGAAATTTTCTACAGTATTATGCAAAGGAGTTATGCAGAAGCTACCTGGGCAAAAAAGAACAGAGGTTTTTCTGTGGGTGTATGTCTTCCAATTATACTCTGCTTTTACGCCGTTGTGCGTGTGATTTACACCATGGGGCAAAATCTCCCATTCACACTAATCTTACATTTATTCATTTGTTGCCTTTATATTTTCTCTTCCCTCCAGGGAGCTCAAAACAATATCCTTGATTTTCTTTGTTCATGGACACAGCCACCCAGTAAGATAGGTTATAGTGAGTGAATCACCTGATGCCTTTTGTGGCAGAGTGGGGATTTGAACCCAGGTTTCCCAAACCCTGATCCAGTGTTCTAAGGACTATACCATGTTGGCCTTGACAAGGAGTTCCCCGCTGTCACAGCTGCGGACGCAGGGGCCCAGATCCAGACTGCAACTGCGGTGCAGAAAGGGCAAATGGCTGAAGCCATCCACCCCACCCCACCCCAGAACCAACATCCCAGTCAAGGTAAAGGTTCCCCTTATTGTTCTATATCTTCTGCCAGACGGCAACAGTTCAAAAAAGTTATAAGCAGGATGGGAAGAGTCTCTTGTGGCAGAGCGGGGATTTGAACCCAGGTTTCCCAAACCCTGATCCAGTGTTCTAAGGACTATACCATGTTGGCCTTGACAAGGAGTTCCCCGCTGTCACAGCTGCGGACGCAGGGGCCCAGATCCAGACTGCAACTGCGGTGCAGAAAGGGCAAATGGCTGAAGCCATCCACCCCATCCCACCCCAGAACCAACATCCCAGTCAAGGTAAAGGTTCCCCTTGACAATTTTTGTCCAGTCGTGTCCGACTCTAGGCGGCGGTGCTCATCTCCGTTTCCAACCCATAGGAGCTAGCGTTTGTCCACAGACAATCCTCCGTGGTCACGTGGCCAGCGCGACTAGACACGGAAAGCCGTTTACCTTCCCACCGAGGTGGTATCTATTTATCTACTCGCATTTTTGCATTTTGCATGCTTTCGAACCGCTAGGTTGGCGGGAGCTGGGACAAGCAAACGGGGATTCACTCTGTCATGTGGATTTGATCTTACGACTGCAGGTCTTCTGACCTTGCAGCACAGAGGCTTCTGTGGTTTAACCTGCGGCGCCACCATGTCCCAGTCAAGAGTGGCATGCAAAATGGGGGTTTCCTGCCTCTCTTCCCTGGCTGGAGAAGAG